TTAAACACCTCACATCAGCAACAAGCAAATAAAATTATTCCATGTAGAAATTAGCATAATGTTTAATTAAGTAAGTGACAAAGCACCATTTGTAAAAATATTTAGTTTTCATTTAAAAAATATGAATATGGTAACACAGACTGTTGCTATCTGACGCATTTTTTTGGAAAAAAAAATATTACATTATCTTACAGTGAAATAGCACAAACTAATATATATAACTTTTTATTATTTGTAATTAATAAATAACTCTTTGATTATTAATAAATATCAGTTTATTAACAACTACTAGGGTTGGGCGATGTCAACCAATTTAGCATTGTACGATGTCTAATGTGAAACATCGTGATGGAAGATGGCATCGTTTTCAGAGGCAGTGGTGAATTAATTATTAATGAATACTTAATTCATTCATAGCGAATTAATTATTTGTAGCCTACCATTTCAACTACCTGACCCGCATGGTCTTTGCTTTACCCATAACCAAATCATAAATAAAGATAAGTTGCTCACAAGTTACCACCTGTCAATCACTTTTTCCGTGGGATTCTGGCATGAATAGGCAGAGTGATCTGTTTTGTTATAATGGGGCCGACAAACTTGGTTGGTAAAAAAGGTGCACAACCAACAGTACCTGAGGTTTTCGCTGAAATTACTGAGTACAAGCGTGAAAGCGAAAGATTGAAGCAGTGCACTGACGTTGTGACACTTTACCTGATAGATTCAAAAGACCAAAGAGTCGTTAAATAGAGACAAGATTAATTAAATATGATGTTTAACAACTCTAGTAAGACGTAGTTGTCATCCTTCATAAAATGTCCGACAAGCACTGCTCTCTGAGGATTTGTGCTCAAAGCACCCGCTGACTGCTGGAGCTCAGACGCGCACATACCTTGCAGCGCATGCCTCTAACTGTGTGTGTGTGGTCATGTGCTGTGCGGTTTAAGGAGTATTGTGAGGACAGAGATCTTTTCAGAAATGCTAGAGGGTCGGCCCAATAGCCTAGTGCTTAGCGCGTCAACATATGGTGCAGTAGCACGTCAGGGCATCCTGAGATCGAATCCCGGCTCAAGGACATTTCCCTACCCTACCCCCTCTCTCTCTCCAACTTCGCTTCCTGTCTAAATACTGTCCTATCTAATAAAGGCAAAAAAGGCCAAAAAATAAATCTTAAAAAAATAATTAAAAAATGCTAGATGAAACGCCAGTGTGAACCTGGATCATTTTCATATATATATATATATATATATATATATATATATATATATATATATATATATATATATATATATATATATATATATATATATATATATAAGCAAATACGTTTAAATTTAAGTGACTACAAACTAAAAAATCTCAAATAAATATTTTATAGTTTTTTCCTTTGATTTTTCCTCTTCTTTTAAAGCTTTTATTCAATACCTTTTCCTAACATAAATTTGGGTGTAATAACCTTTGGATTGATATTGTAAGCTATTTTCATTTTTCTTTTCTTTTTTTTTGTTAACTTAACTGCAGTTTTGGCTTCAGTACCGGAAAAGTTTTGGCTTCATGTTTATGCCCAAATATAATATTGCATAACATCTTATAAAAAAAAATAATACTTTAAAAGATCTGTGATAAGCTGAGCAATCTATATCATGTATAAATAAACAAGTTTTTAACATATATTTAATAAACTACTATTTTATATATATTTTTCATTTATTTTTACTATTATATAAACCCATAGATCATTTTTATTTCATTTTATTACTTTACTTTGAGAACTACATTAAAACACAAACATTTCAGTATGTAATTTAGCAAGATGCAAATGTTAAATCAATGAGATTTTATTTTGCAAGTTTTTCTTTGGCTGAAAACAACCAGTTCATATTCACTGTTTTTATTAAAAGTTTGGAAAGATACTGCTAGTTGGCACATATTCCTTCTTAACAATTTATATGTATTTAATTAAATCAGTCTTAAGAGATTTCATAGCTGCATTTAGCCATATTAATCCGTATTAGCTCTTAATATTAGTTTTATTTATACAGTCAATTATTTCCTCATCCAGATTTTATGAGCAGACACCGCCTCTTTGCCCTCCTCTGAGAAAACACCAGACACAAATGCAGAGCAAACTGCTGACAAGCAGGAAAAAAAGTGGAGCAGAAACAAACAAACAAACAAAAAACTGCCTGTGACAAATCATGATGAACCTACAAAACACCAATCCACATGTATGTACATGTTAAATGTACGTTAAAAATAAATCAAAAATCAGATTCACAATTCTCTAAAAACATCATACAGACAACCAAAAACTACCTTCATCTGTATGCATCGCAAAGCAAAATTACACATCAAAACACACACACACACACACACACACACACACACACACACACACACACACACACACACACACTGCAAAAACACAGAGCATGATGCACTAATGATGCATTAATAAAACTAATCACTTCTGCTAATACAGGACACACAGAAATGACAGCATGTGTAAAACTCAGGCCGTAGGAGAGGATGACGGTGATTTCATGAAGCTTCCAGAAAGAGTCAGTGGTACTGTGTTCAGGCCACTGACTCAGCAGTTCAGCCCCGTCTGGCCTTCAGAGCAGTAAAAGTGCACATTAACACACGATTACAGTGCAGTTACCAGTGTGGTGTACAGTCCCACTGAGAGACGCCATCCTTTACACCATAAAACCTTAACACACTCATACTGAATTTATTAGCCTTTTTTACGATACTTTAAAGAAGCAGCTCAACTTAAAATAGAAATGCTGTCATTATTTACTCTACCTCATGTCATCTGTGCACATATTGATATATTTAATTACTGATAGGCCCACATGGACAACTCCACAGATTGTTGATGCCGTCATTCAGATTACTTAGTGTGTAAATGTGTATAAATGTATATTATAGAGACATATTTGTATTTTACATTCATTTCGGTTATACTATTGTATGATATGCAAAGGTTTAGATGATTTGTGTACAATAAAATTCGTAAAGTTGTAGTCGTGGTTTCTGTATTACATGACAGACCTTCTGTGGCTTTGTTTACCAAAACAACTGGTTTTTATTCCATTGTAAAAATAATTTTAACACTGTCTTTATTGATTTTAGTAGCTTTTAACATGTACAATAGAAATCAAAACCAAACATACAAAATAATAATAATAACAATAACAATAATAATAGCAGTAATAATAATAATAATAATAATAATTATAATAATAATAATAATAAAAGAGGTAGTAGCAATAATAATAATACTAATAATAATAATAAATAAATAAATAAATAAAATAGAAAACAATAAATATAAAAATTTATATAGAAAAATAAAAAAAATACACAAAAATAATAATAAAAAGTTATACAGAGAAAATATTTGTATCAGCTTCCTTCAGGAAACCTACAAAGGGATTCCAAATTTTTCTAAAGCCAAACAATGAGACAATTCCCTCAACCATTGTGCAAAGTTTGGCATTGTAAATCTTTAATAAATAAAAGTTAAGAAGTTATCAGCTCCTATGGTCATACAATAATTCATAAATCAACATAAATTCTCCACAGAAAAAAAACTGGCTTTGATTATTATTATTATTACTGTATTATTACTATAAACATAGTTTCCTGTAGTCTGTGATTAACTTTCTTTATATTTAGGATATATTTGAATTAAGGGTCCTTGATCTTTGCTCTAATGACATTTGTCACTGAAAACTTGAACAAAGTGACGTTTATTAACATTTATAGCTGTTTAAGACAATACATTGTCTAGGTTGGTCATGTGAATCATTGTACAAATACCAGGTAATAAGCTTCCTGTTATTTGTGGATTTATCAACTTGTCCTTTCAAACTTGTCCTTTCACTAAAAATGTCAATAAAATCCCTTTGCTAAACCGTTCAACATTAAAAGTCATCAGAGCACAGACTAAGATTCCATAATGCAATTTGAAAGTGTAAATGAATAGAAAAAAAACAGCCATGAATCATGAGCTACAAGCAATTAAATTTATTTTTTTTCTATTTTGTGTTCCACAAAAGTAATGTGTTTTTAAAAACAAAGAAAGGTAAATATTTATGATTCCTTTAACAACACAAAGTCCTAAAGAGGATCTACTATGTGAAAATCACTTTTAAAAGGAATTAAAAACAATTGAGTGGGAACAATGTGTGAATATAACCAGATCTATTTATAAAAATGTATTAATTTTATAATCTTTTTATAATCACGCTTGATAAAAACAGTGTGCAGAAACACTTTGATTGACATTCTACCATTGTAATGTCAAGAAAAAAAGCCCCGCCCATTAGTGACGAGCTCTCTGTCATTAGCATAAACAGCCCTGAATGAGAAGCAGCCATCCATTATTTGCGTCTTTACAACATACCTGCTAAAAAATAATGTCAGTGACTAAGAGGCATTATAGATGTGGAGTTTGAGGATGCACAAATGAACACTGTAATCTCCATAGACTGCCTCCTTCTGAGACACATTTTCAGTTTTTTACAGAGATAACGCTAGTCTTGTTTTAAATAAGCAATTAAAGCTCCGTCCTCTTTTGAAAAAAGCACAATCTCATCTGAATTTAAAGTGACAGTCACCAAAATGACACAATTAGGATCAAAGCCTAAAAGGAGCAGTTTCAAAGAGTTTTACAAAATTATTTGTGGCGTATTTTGAGCTCAAACTTCCCATACACACACTAGAGACACCAGAAACTTATTTTATATGTTGTAAAAAGGGGCATAATAGGTGTCCTTTAATTTAATAGAAATAAATGAGGACCCCAAATGCATTTTGCCGGCTGTTAAAAAAAGCACAGGAGGAAAAGAAGAAGTGCTTTACTCCTGGACAGAGTTGAGGGCGCTCATGTTAACTGTGTTTCCTGTATTGAGTGACTGTGGCCAACAGAATGACCTCTTTAAACCAGATCAGCACATGAAACAAGCAGAACTCTGGTGACTTTAACTTACTGTCCTCTCCTGGGCACGGCATACCAGGCTTTTCAGGAATACTTGGAAATACTAGACAGAAGAAAAAAGACAGAGAGAAAAATGAGTGTGGCATTTATTTATTAACTGGCATGAGCTCTGCAAGTATGCTAAATTACAAAGAAACGGACTTTCATCGAATGCTGAATATCCGCACGGAGTACATATGATATTTTGAGTGCTTTGGCTGATTTCCGCTGTGTGGTTTAAATGCTGCATTATGTTGTTTATAAATAGATGTACACAAATATGGAGAAAGTAATTCAACTGCTGGAACAATTTAATAAGGCAGGAATGAATTGATTCATTTGCATCGGTTTGTGTGAATGAGTACCGTGCAGGAGGAGTCCAGAGTGCCGGTTTCGGCTGTAGATCCGAAACGCTTCCTCCAGCTCCATCTGGGATGAGATGGTACACGGGTCTCCTAAAAAACAAGACAAGTAGAAGAAGAAAAATGACTAATGTAAAATGGCCATACGATAAAGACATGGATTTTACAAACTGACTTGACTGAATTGGGTTTTAGGATCAACAGAAAAACAGAAAAGCTTATTAATGGTGTATTTTTACTATTATTTTATTTTTTATTTATTATTTAGTTTTTGTTTCTGTTTTTCTATATTTCCATTCCGTTTCCAATATTATACAGTATATATTATTCCTACAGTATATTATAGTATCATTTTTTATTTATATTTTCTTCCAGTAGATTTAGTAACTTATTACATAAACTTTACATTTTTAATTTTTATTATTTTATTTAAAAGTTCAATATTTTTTTCATTTAATACTATTAAAAAAAAAAAAAAAAAAAAAATATATATATATATATATATATATATATATATATATATATATATATATATATATATATATATATATATATATATTTACAAAACAAATTATTTATATTTAGACTTAAAAATATACTAAAAATAAAGCACAATGGCATACTGTATTGACATTCATGTCCATAAAATTAATTGATATATCTATTTGGCTTTAATTGTTTCAGTAGTTTTTGCACTTATTTTTAATTTACTTCTATATATATGATATGATTTTTAAATCCATGTAATATTTATGTTATCATAGATTTATTGGTATCTCTTTACAATAAGTTTACATCAATTAATGTATTTACTAACATGAAATAATTATGAACAATACTTGTCCAGAATTTATTAATCATAGTTCAACATTTATTAATGCAATATTAAAATCCAAATTCATGCTTGTTAACTTTAGTGTTAATGCACCGTGAGTTAACATGAACAAACAATGAACAACTGCATTTTTATTAACCAACGTTAACTAACATGAACAAATACTGTACTAAATGTACTGCACTGATTGTTTATGGTAGTAAATGCATTAACTAACATTAATAATAAAATAATACAAGCTTATTGTAAAGTTTAACCAATTTATTTTAATGCTAAATTTACGGTGTACAGTGGCTCTGAACTGTCAAAACACCTCTAAAAAAGGCTTTTTCGGACATGACATATTTGTACATGTGTACATCACTGTAACACGTTTTATTCAAGAACATTTGTGCAGGTTTAAGTCCTTAGCTCTTTCATTTTCATCTTATTTAAAAGATATTTATCTTGCTTGTTGATTAAATCCCATTTTGTTATTTAACCTATTACTTTTATGCAACAGTCAAGTTGCATGTTAATTTGATATGAAGAAAAGGAAATCATTTATTTTTTGCATGCTGATCTATGTGAAATCGTGAATATAGGTGTATATAATTACCTTGAAATATTGAAATTATAGCTTTTTTGCTTTGAGTATACATTACTCAGTTTATCAGAGCAGTTCAATCTTTTATGAAGTTTGCTATATAAAAATATAACATTTTTAAATATTTATAAATATTAGCATATATATATCGGCTATTACGCTCCAAGTCTGAGGAATTATCAGTTATCAGTATCGGCCAAAAAAATCCATATCGGTGCATCCCTAATTTATATCTATTAAATTTAATGAATTGCATTTATACATTTAAAATTTATGCTAAAAAGTATGTTAATATTTTAACTACATATCTTCTTTGCAAGGAAATCATCAAAAAATGTATTTGACTTATGCTTACATTATTATTCCTTCTAGGCCCTTGAGCTTAAAGTCGACATAACCAAAACTGAGCCCATATCTTTTTAAACACATGATCCTGTGAATGATTCACCGGTACATTAACCCAAATAAACAAATCTAAAACTACACACAGGAGCATACTGAATCCATGTTTTTGCTCACGTCACAAAGGCTGAAGTTCAAGTTTCACACAAACCTTCGTCGTCGATCCATTTGAGTGTTATTGGCGTTTCTTTGCGAACTCCACACATCTCTCTGACCTCCTTACACACCTCTGTGTACGTCAGCGCCAAATCCAGGTCTGAGATCAGCATGTCCCTGCACACAAAACAACCGGATACCTTTATACAGATCTGAGAACTACAGAATACAAATCTATGAAACTGTAAAATACAACTCTTTGCCTTATCCATAAAGGACGCAAGTAGTTTAAAAAATTAAGCAAAAATAATATATTAAAAAAATATATCAGTAAAAAACATTGTCATAGCTGTTGTAAAACAATACATAGATAATGTGACGGAAACAATAAACAAGTCATGTATTGACTAACACACTAGTCACTTAGAAGCTTTTGTTTAGTAGATTTCAAGTTTTGTTTAACTTTGTAATTATCATCGTCACCTTTAATAAGCATTAACACGGCTCATTTTAAACTGAAAGTGAAAAAAAGCTACATCAAATAACACAAATTAATTGAAAAATTTGTATCGTTTTGATTTTAAGATTTCAACACAATCAAGCACCTTCTATTATCTCTTATTATCAAATTATCTTTTAGCATCAATGGCTAGTATGGGGTGTCAAAATTAATTGATTTTTCGATGCACCGCGATGCAAGAACAATTTGGAATCGGTTCAGTAATAATCAAAACCGGTTGTTTTGTACTGATCTCATTAATTACATAGCGTTATGTGGCGGTAGCTTACTATGGCGAGAGAGGAGACCGTGAGTAATTAAACGCTCCCACAACTACTTAAAAAGCATGCTGTACACAATTCGCTGCTTGTGAGTTTGATCTACGAGTCTTTCAATGAAAGGGAAGTACATCAGAACTCAGCTAGGAAAAAATAAATGCTGTAAACTCTCTCTCACGCTCTGTGACCCCTTTGACCTGCTGGTGTGTTCGTGAGGTAGCGTTTTATCTCCTATCTCAGCTGGTACAACAATAACGTTACTTTTGGATCCAGACACAAGCGTGTCTGCAGAGCGAGTTTTCTCCACTCCGTCATCATCTATAATGGGTCAGCTGATTGTCCGCGTCACTGTTTGCTGAACAGCGCAAGAGCTGTGCTGACCGTTAGAGCCAATCGCACCCTTTTTTTTTTTTTTTTTTCAGCGTGTGATCAATCAGAGGCATTTAGGAATTCGCTCAACAACGCTCAAAAAGCAACAGGGATAATATTTACATTTGTTTATTTACTATAAATGCTCATGTTGTTCTCTGCATGCACTTTAGTTTTGTTTGATACATTCAAGGAGTTTGCATGTTCTCCCTACATTCGCGTGGGTTTCCTTCAGGTGCTCCGGTTTCCCCTACAGTCCAAAGACATGCGGTACAGGTGAATTGGGTAGGCTAAATTGTCCATAATGTATGACTGTGTGTGTGAATGTGTGTGTGGATGTTTCCCAGGGATGGGCTGCGGCTGGAAGGGCATCCGCTGCGTAAAAACTTGTTGGATAAGTTGATGGTTCACTCCGCTGTGGCGACCCCGGATTAATAAAGGGACTAAGCCGACAAGAAAATGAATGAATGAATGATACATTCAAAAAGAGTGTTTTCTATAAACAGCTAAAATTAAATGTGGGCTACACGGTGGTGCAATGGGTAGCACGATTGCCTTACAGCAAGAAGGTCACTTGTTTAAACCTCGGCTATCGTTTCTGTGTGGAGTTTGCATTTTCTCCCTGTGTTCGTGTGAGTTTCCTACAGGTGCCTTGGTTTACCCCACAGTCCAAAGACTATAGGTGAACTGGGTAAGCTAAATTGTTCATAGTGTATGGGTGTATGGGTGCTTCCCAGAGATGGGTTGCAGCTGAAAGGGCATCCGCTGCAGTAAGCATATGCTGGATAAGTTGGTGGTTCATTCCGCTGTGGCGACCCCAGATTAATAAAGGGACTAAGCCAAAAAGAAAATAAATGAATAAATGAATGAATGAAATTAAAGGTGCAGTTCATATATCTGACTGCTTGAATTAAAGGACAAAATTGTATCACAAATAATATATAAAAATAACTATATTTACAAATGATAAATTTTAATACAAGAATTATTGTGGTAATAAGTAAAATAAAAAATTGTGAATGGAAAGCATCGTCAATGCACAGAGATATCGAATTGAACTGAATCGATGGCATGATAATCGTTACCGAACCGAACTGTGAGACCAATGTAGGCTCACACCGCTATTGGCCAAGCTATTATATCTGCCACTTCCTATTAGAAATGCTCCCATCTTTTAAACATTTTAATACAATACTCAAAACATATCTTTTTGGTGAAGCATTTAAGTCATCATTTTATTGTCGTTTTTATGTATTGTAGTTGAATAAAACTAGACTAAAACTAAAATGATTCAGAAGACTAAAACTAGAATTGAATTTTATTCAAGACTAAAACTAAATCAAAATTTGCTGTAAAAATTAACACTGGTGACTGCTAATATGACGTAGCAATGTTTTATTATTGTTTCATATTGCTGTAGCGCTTTGAGTGTAAGAAAGGCACATTACAAATAAAATGTATTATTATGATTATTACTTTCATTCATTCATTTTCCTTTCGTCCCTTTATTAAACTGGGGTTGCCACAGCAGAATGAACCGCCAACTTATCCAGCATATGTTTTATGCAGTGGATGCCCTTCTAGCTGCAACCTATCTCTGAGAAACATCCAACACACTCATTCACACTCATACACTGCGGACAATTTAGCTTACCGAATTCACCTGAACCGCATGTCTTTGGACTGTGGGGGAAACCGGAGGCCCTGGAGGAAACTCACGCGAACGCAGAGAGAACATGCAAACTCCACACAGAAACGCCAACTGATCCAGCCGAGGCTCGAACCAGTAACCTTCTTGCTGTGAGGCGACAGCACTACCTACTGTGTCCTCATGATTATTATTTTTTGACTTAAAGTGCAAAATCGCCCAACAAATCATGCATCTCTTATAAACGGTGTAGCTATAAATGTACTCTGCCGCTTTAAATAGTCCAGCCTCAGCCAAACAAGCCACATCTGTCTGGATACACAAGAGACTTGTTTGGAAGCGTCGGATCCCTGCTCCACTTCCACAGCACATGCAAGACAGAGCCCAGTACAAGCCAAAAACATGAGCTGGTGCTGAGCTCACAATCTCCACAAAAATGCAAACATGCTACTGAGGAATCATTATTACATCATCTCTGACCTCAAAGTGCTTTCTCTGACAAAATATGTACGATATAGCACACATTCTTAATGAAACTACATTTTCGAAGTAACACCGTATATGATAACTTACTTGAATAATATGAGAAACGTTATTACATCAGAAAAAACCAGCGCTGACCTAGTTCTATAGTTAACAGCCTTTGCCTTGTCCTGGATTCATTGCAATAATATATTATATAGTGATGTAGCAGCTTTTATTTAATGATAGTTTTACACTCTATAGAAGCAGCCAATTCATCTGAAGATGATAAATGAAAGTTATTTATTTCAAGCATACACAAATGCTGTCAATTTTACCAGATTTAGCAATTTTACTAAACAATTTTTTAATCCTCTTTCTTTTTTCCTGATGAAATAAATATATCAAATAGAGCAATGAGTTAATGCTAAAATGTTAATGAGGCAACAAACAGATAATATAATAATTCATCAATTTTCACATCAGTAATTAGTTCTAAAAGTTATATTTCTTTATCTAATAAAAAAAAATTATTTCATGTGTTGTGATCTTTAATTTATTTATTTTTAATCACCCAAACGTAAAACAAGCATAAAACATGATAATGACCCATAAATATCTTATTAAATGAATTGCAATAAATAATATTATTAATATTGCAGTAAATGCTATATCTTAGGTATTGCTATGCCCACGCAGAATTGCGCAGATTTCCACAGATTTTTAGCCCATCATTAATTCTATTTATTTACTTGAGTAAACGTGTGTAAATCTATGTTTATTCAGTTTTAAAATTAATTCCAGTAATATTATTGAATAATATTAAAGTCTTCATCTGATTTATGTACAATGCAGTTTGTACAGTAATATTTTCTGTCTTTTAGTACATATATTATATGAGAGATTTGTTATGTTTACCAAATAAAGTGAATCTCTTGGCATTTGCATTTTAAACATTGAAATAAAGTATAAAAGGTATTACTTTTTATTTCATATATTAAGGTTTTAGTTATGATATTCCTAAAATAATTCCGTCTGGCCCTAGGTATTGCATAAGTAATATACTCATTGAATTTTTAAATATTTCGTTAATGTTTACAATAAATGACATAAATCATCTTGTATTATAAAAAGCTTTGGTTGAATTCGAATGCTTTTGTGGTCTTTCTTTTACATAAAAATAACGAATAACTAATAATTTAGGCTGAATTTAAACAAACAAATTAAGCTGAACATCACTAAATTTAATTTGTTTGTTTAAATTCAGCCCATATAAATTCTTTACAACCATTTAACTTCAAAAAATGTAGTAAATCCAATGAATATTTTTGAGTGCTGAATAGGAGTATTTTGATGAATAAGCCATTTTATTAACATTTTTTAAAAATTACTGTATATTTTTGACCAAAAATTAAAATTTTCATCATTTATATAAATTATAGTTTATCATTAGATAATATTCACTTATAATTGTTTTTTTTTTTCATTCTTTACAACAGTACAGTGGCTGATAAAAATCACACAAACTACAAGCTAAGAAAACATGCTGTCATGAGAGAGGCATGGCTGAACAATGCACAAAGAGGGAAAGCAGATATTGGCATAACAGAGGCTGTGTCCGAATCCGCATACTTCCATACTATATAGTACGCTAAAATCAGTATGTGAGCAGAGTAGTATGTCCGAATTCATAGAATTCGAAAATTACTATGTGAGAAGTACCCGGATGACTTCCGGCGAGATTCTGGAGTGCGCATCCCATGCACGCTGCGCTATCCCACAATGCCCCGCAACAGAATTTATGAATGGAAGTGAAGCAACGCAACTGACGCAGGTAGGTCACGTGACCATGACAAAATGGTGGATGTAGTACATCCGAATTCCATTCATACTTTTCACATTCATACTGTATAGAACCTAC